AATCCACGGTGGTTATTAGTGTGATTCTGAGTGCAACTGAAGCTGCTGATTGTGACCATAAAGAATACATGGCATAAGGCCAAGTTATTAATGGGAATCACCCAACGTCCAAGGTGTCTGCCCATCCAGTAAAGGCAGGCAGAGTTGGCACATATTCCAGGTCTTTTTGACTAATAATGTCATGTTTTGGGACCTTCAATGCCTGCCCTGTAGAACGTGATCCCCCACCTCCCCCTGAGATCTGCTGGCTCCCATCCTGATGGGGTTCTGGAGAGCCTTAAAGACCTAACTGTCTTTCTGGGTCTTGACTTACTTCCTGGGTCCCCAAATTACAACCACAACCGAGCTCAAAATTTCTGTTGCTAAGCAAGGCAGTTTTTAAGTGAATTTTACTCCATTTTGCAAACTTTCTTGCCAAATTCTTAAATGGATTACTGCAATTGTTTAAGTTGATAACATGGTTCTTAAGTTAATGGCTTCCCTGTTGACTTTGCTTGTCAGAAGGCCACAAAACCTGAACAAATGGCTCCGGAAAAATGCAACGGTCATAAATATAATTCAGTTGCCAAGCATCTAAATTTTGATCATGTGATCATGGGGATGCTGAAATAGTTGTAACTTTAAAAATTGTCATAAGTCTCCTTTTTTCACTGCTGTTGTAACTTTGAACAGTCACTAAATGAATGGTGGGTAAGTCGAGGACTATATATAGTGATTCAAATTCTTGTTAAATATCTATGTGCTTTGGCAGTATTGCCTGGATGCATCAATTTCCCACCATTTCTTTTTCTGCTTTCCATTATATTGTTTTACTTTGTCTTGCTGATCTTGAGTTGATGCCAAAATGGTTGAAAACAAACAAATAAACAAACAAGCACGAGGATGGGAGAAAGCCTCACAAATCCCCCTGAACTCATGTCCCATTTATCCAACTATATCCTCTCGAAAATTGATTTTTCAATCAGAGGTGAAGTGACATCTCTTGGAATCATCCAATTTCAGATAGGGATGAATGTAAAATTAGCCAGGAGGTGGGAAGGAAATTGGGAAGTATGGGGTAGCTAAAGAAGAAGATGAGAAAGCTTTTGATAATCTGAATTGGCAATTTTTAATTCAAAAAAATTATAATTTGAATCTGGGTACCAAATTTGAAAATATTATAACAACTATCTATGACACACAACAAGCTAATATAATAATAAACGGGGAACACACCCGCCCAATAAAGATAGAAAAAGGAGTGAGACAGGGCTGCCCACTCTCCCCACTGCTCTTCATATTATCATTAGAAACATTATTAACGCGAATTAGGCAAAATTCAGATATAAAGGGATTAACGGTTAAGAAAGAGGAATTTAAATTGCAAGCATTTGCGGATGACATGATCTTCTTTATTGAAGAACCAATAGATAGGGGACTAAAATTGATGAAAGAACTGGAGAATTTTGGAGCAGTAGCAGGACTTAAAATAAACAAGAAAAAAACTAAATTAATGACCAAAAATTTAACAGAAAAACAGAAAGTAGAATTAGAAGAAACAATGGAAATACAAGTGACAAAGAAAGTGAAATATCTAGGAATTTGGCTAACACCACACTGTAAGTCATTTAAAGAAAATAATTATGACAAATTGTTGCATCAGGTAAAGAAAGATTTAGAATCATGGAGTAAACTTCAAATTTCACTATTAGGCCGGATTGCTACCATTAAAATGAACATTCTCCCCAAATTTCTATATTTATTCCAAACGATTCCAATTAAATTACACAAAAAGTTCTTCGAAGAACTCAACAAAACAACCCTCAAATTTATTTGGCAAGGGAAAAAACCCAGAATAAATGTAAAAGCAATGCAAGATACAAAGAGCAGAGGAGGGTTAGCAGTCCCAAACTGGGAGTTATATCATATGGCCACCTCATTAGTTTGGTTGAAGGACTGGGTGAAGTTAACTAATAAAAGAATATTATTTCTAGAAGGCCACGACTTACAAAGGGGGTGGCACGCATTCTTATGGGATATAGGGAAAACCAGTCAAAAATATTTTCATAGACATTTAATTAGAGACGCGCTACTAACAATTTGGAAGAAAATACGGAAAAAACATTACATAAAAATACCAATATGGATTTCAACAATGGAGGCGATGATTCACCCAAACAATTTGGAAATTACTAAAATGATTAAATATAAAGACTTATTGGACCCACAAGGAAATTTGAAATCGAGGCAGGAATTTCAGGACCAGGGACTAAAAATTGATCAATGGGTTTATCTTCAGATTCAAAGTAGGTACAAACAAGATAAGAAAGAATTTGGAATTAACAACAAACTTCAACAATTAGATAAGATTTTATTAGGACCGGACAAAAAAAGCATAACAAAATTTTACAATTATTTACTAGAAACAGAATTAGAAGAAGAAATTGTAAAAGGGAATATGATTGCGTGGAGTCGGAATGTAGGACATAGTATTACGCTAGCAGAATGGGAAAAAGTTTGGGGCAGGAATAATAAGATCACAAAATCGGTAGCATACAAGGAAAATCTTTATAAAATGTTTTATAGATGGCATCTTCCTCCTTCGAGGCTAGCGAAGATGCACCTCAACATGAGTCCGTATTGTTGGAAATGTAAGAAAAAAGAAGGAACCTTTTCCATATGTGGTGGACATGCACAGAAACCCAAAATTATTGGAAGAAAATCCAAATTTGGTTGGAAGAAATTACAAAAGAGCAGATCGAGTATAAACCAGAGTCCTTCCTACTAGGGATCTTTGACAAACAAATTTCCAAAAAAGCTAAATATATAACAATACATATATTAACTGCGGCCAGATTAGCCTTTGCACAATACTGGAAACAACATCAAATTCCATCAGATGAAGTGATTATTGATAAAATTTCAAAATGCGCAGAAATGGACAAACTGACTCTGGCACAAAAAAACAAAGATACTTCACAATATTATGATAGTTGGAATTGTTGGTATAATTGGATTAATCATAGATAAATTATATATCATAAGGCATAAGAGAAAAGTTTTAACTGATAATAATGAGATAGTGATATATGTATAGAATAGGTGTATATATGACATAAATCAAAGGCTATAAAAAAAAAAGATCTTGCAAACTGTAAAATAAATATGAATGTTTTTAATTTTCCTTCTTTCGTTTTCTTTATTTTTCCTTTCTTTTCAATCTTTTCTTTTCTTTCTTTTCTTCTTTCTTCTTTCTTTTTTTTTCTTTCATTTATTTGTATATGTATTGTTGGCTGTTTTTAACTGTTAAAACTAATAAATTGTTTTATTAAAAAAAAGAAGAAGAAGATGAGGAAAAGGACATTTAATTGAGGGGTGAGGGCATGCTGGAAATATTTGCAAGTCTTCGTCTCCTGAGGAGGATCAATAGGTGCTTCAGTTTGAAAGGAAAAAGGAAAAAAAAATACAACTTCAAAAATAGAAGTTATACAGATCTCAAGCAGATTATTTTTTCAACCTTAGAACAATGCTCCTTCAAGTGATTTAAAATTAATCTGTTCTAGCCAAAACAAATCTTGGGCAGATTATGAGAAAAAGTCCACATGGAAAAATCAGTGGGATTCCGTTTGAATCCTGCTTTCCTTCTTTTCTTGTTTCTGAATCACTTACAAGATGGATGTCTTTCCAGTCAGTTAATTCCCAGTGGGCATGTCTCTTCTTCTTCTTCTTCTTCTTCTTCTTCTTCTTCTTCTTCTTCTTCCTCTTCTTCTTCTTCTTCCTCCTCCTCTTCCTCTTCCTCTTCTTCTTCCTGCTCCTCCTCCTCCTCCCTCTCCCTCTCCCCCTCCCCTCCCCCCTTTTTCACAATTTAGCCTAATAGAGCTGGACCCAATCCCAATATTAAGAGTTCTTCCCTTCCTAACGCTTGGAAATATTATTGCTACTATTATTACAAGACTGGCTACTAATAGAAGCTGTTTAGATCCTCTAAACTTGCATTTTTTAAAGAGTGATCTGAAGATCCTCTCAGTGGTACACAAAATTATGTGCCAGATAATGAAAACCTTTGCAAAAATGTAAAACATTGTCACTCTTCTCGTTATACTTTACAGGTTGCCCTCAACTTACGATTGAGCCCAAATTTCTATTGCTAAATGATGTTAAATGAGTTTTGCCCCATTTTACGACCTTTTTGCCACAGTTGTTAAGTGAATCACTGCAGTTGGGGTCAGATTGTCACACCCCACAAAGCCAGCCCAAAGATACTTTCATTTTGGCTTTCTATGATGGGCGAAACCAGTAACTGCAGTGGTGTATTAACCATTAAGCAGCCTAAGCACATGCACCACAAAAACTTTTATGCAGCCCAAGTTTGGCTTCGTTTGTACAGTATGTACAAAGGAGGCACCAAGATTTGTCAGTGCTTAGGGCCCCAGTGAACCTTAATCTGCCACTGAGTAACTGTGGCTTATTCCACAAACCACAGGTACAATCACATATAGCTTAGCACAATACAGGTTATCCTTGTTGGAACCAGCAATTTGGTCATTATGATAAGCAGATGCTAAGGGAAACTGTGATGGTCCTTATGATTTCCTTGAGATTTTTTTCCTTTACAGACTATGACAGTTGTAAACCTGCAAAGTTACTTTTTCTTCACAATCATAACAGCAAATGGTCACTAAATGAAGCAGTCACTAAACAAGGATTATCTTTGTTTCAACCTACCAAGTAAATAAATTATTCCTACATCTTTTCCCCTTTTATCTCTACAAGATTGCTCAACTTACCATAAAACTCATTAAATATTTATTGCTGTAAACCACAAAAAAGGTAACTTTATTTTTAAATTGTATTTGTTGTATTTCTTTCAAATATTTCTTGAGAATGCTTTCACACAATATTTTTGGGTTATTTTAAAATCAGCTCTAATCTTATTTTCTCTCCCAACCTATCAGCGCCACCAGGTCTGATAGACAGATAGACACAGAGAGAAAGAGAAGATGTAACGGAGCTAGGGACAGATAAAGATTTACAAAAATTGGACCAAATCTTGAAAGACAAGAATATAAAATTTATAGCACGAACATATAATTATTTACTGGAGGTAGAACTAGAGGAGGAAATTGTTAAGGGACCAGTGATTGCCTGGGTGAGAAATGTGGGTGATAATATAAATTTGGATGAGTGGGAAAAGACTTGGACCGAGAACTGGAAGCTGACTTTGTCGATGGCATTCAAAGAAAATCAATATAAAATGTTTTGTAGATGGCACTTAGCGCTGGCACGACTGGCGAAAATGTATCAAACCTTGAAACCAGAATGCTGGAAGTGCAAACGAAAGAAACAAACGTTTTTCCATATGTGGTGGCAATGTATAGAGGTCAAAAAGTACTGGAAGAAAATACAGAGATGGCTTTTTGAGATTACAAAATATAAATTGAAATTGGAACCCGAAACATTTTTATTAGATATGATTAAAGGGAATTTGAGTAAAGATAAAAGATACCTTATTGTACACATCTTAGCTGCAGCAAGGATCAAGTTAGCACAAAATTGGAAGAGTGATAAAATACCACCAGATGAAGTTTTGATTCAAAAAATAATGGACTGTGCTGAACTAGATAAATTCACTGTGGAACTGAAAGGCAAAGAGGATAGAGAATACTATGCGACATGGGAGAGGTGGTATGAATGGGTGAAGGATAAGGATAAAAATAATGTATAGTCACAAAATAAGAAACATGTGTATACAATGACACAATAGCTGTTAATGGAAATGAGATTTTTGCATTTTTTGTTTTCAAAGAATAAAAATTAAAAAATTAAATAAAAGAGAAAGAGAGAAAAATCTCAACACACGCACACACACGTGATGAATATATCTAATAATCCTTGCTCCCATTTTCCCCACAACAACCCTATTAGGTAGATTGGGCTGAAAAAGAGTGGCTGTCCCCAAGCCATCCAGATGGCTTTCATGCCTGAGGCCAAACTAGAACTCATAGTATCCTGTTTTCCAGCCTGGTGCAATAACTACTAAGCCAAACTGGCTTGAAACAGAATATTGTTAAGCCTGAAAAAGACAGCATCATGATCATGGGACAGTGGGTCCCCAATGCAAAGCAATACTAAAATTCTTAAAGGTAGCTTAAATACCAAATCATCCATTGATCTATTTCTCCCTCTCTCTCCATAATGCTTCTCTTCTCTTCCTCTTCTCTTCTTCTTTTCTTCTCTCATCCCCCCTTCTCTCCCTTCCCCTCCTGTCCCTGTTGTTAAATGAATCTGGCTACCCCATTGACTTTGCTTGTCAAAAGGGCACAAAATATGATCATGTGATTCTGGGACACTGCAACCGTCCCTTTTTTCAGTGCTGTTATAACTTCAAAAGGTGAGTCAAAGACTGTCTATATTTTTGAAGACTATATGGTATATGTTCCACCTTCTCTGATAAATATTTCTTGAGTAGCTCTTGGACAATTTTCCAGTCTTCTGCATGGACTTACCCTGGGTATTCCTACACATAGTTCTATATCTGATCACAAGCTATTGTATTTCAGCATGATTGGTATTTATCTTTGAATTTTATTAACTGTCATTGCCACTGCTAGCATTATAAGAAACTGTCAAGCTTACATTTTGAAAGAAAATGAAATATCTGAAGGGATTAAAATCTGATTTGAAAGTATTATTTAATTTCCAAGTTCTCCCCTTTCTACCTTGTTTCTTTTTGCTTGTATTTTCTGTTGGATAATTCATGGTCTTGCCATTATGTTTCATTCAATAATGGATTGATATATATTACAACTGTGTTAAAAAAAAGTTATCAATATTTTTAAAGTCAGTTGACTCAGAGGCTGTAGGCCATCTCTCTACCTACATATTTCATATTTCATCGGGAATAAACTTTGGTCTCCACCTCTTCTTTCAGTGCTGTTTTGTTCTTTAAATAATGGATTTTAAAATACTTTATAATCAAATGTTATTACATGAAATGCCTGAACGAGCCTAGAAAAACTCCAAAATTAATCTAAACATGTTTAAAATCATACTTTTGTTTCCTTGGTCCCTAGGGAAGATAAGCTTACTATGTCATTTTATCTTAGCCAAATAAAGTAGAAAAGATTAATTTTATTAAATAGGAAAGAATTGGATTTTGTTGGAAGAAATCCAGAGTCTTTCAAAAATGCTTTGATAATAGGCTGAATTTTGCAATTTTTTCATCTTTGCAAATATTCACACACAATGGTCATCTAACCCAATGACAGGATTTTAGCCAGCCTTGTTGGCTATGTATTCTGGATTTTTTACCACCACCACCCCATCCCACCCCACCCCCCAAATCTCTGCAAAGAATCATGTTTGGGAAAAACCATCTTAAATTGACGAATCAAATTACTAAAAGCAAATACAGCATCTTGGTTCCTTTTGACACTTTCCTCTACTGTTTCCAAAAGCCAGTTATGGGTAGAAATTTCTCCTATTTATCCATGAGAAGCATCTGGGTAATAAACAAACATATCTATAAAATAATAAACTAATAAAATAAATTAATCTTCAATCTTTCCACACAGATATCAATTTTACTGAGTGGAATATGGTTTTGTGTTCCTATTAGAGATTAATGTACATGTTTACAAAGATTCTTGAACAGGGACCGAAGCATCAGCTTGACTCCTGAATCAATAAAGGATAATTTGTATGTCTACAGAGATTCTCAGTCATCCAGGTCATGGTTGCCCCAAGGGTACTTTTTCAAAGGGCAACTGGACTTTGTTTTTCTTAAGATAAAACAAAATCCAGTTGCCTTTTGAAAAAGCACTTTTAGGTTAATATTTGTAGCTCAGGGATGAAATGTGGAATCCTTGGTGCTCTCTGAGCTTAGGACTAGCACCAGATGGTGTTTACCTAGTTGGGATAATGAAATGTCTGCAGTGCTCAGGACTAGCACTGATAAAGTTACCTATTTTGGGTAATAAAACTTTTGCAAAAAACAACCAGAGACCACCTAGGACCTCTGACTACTGTATGAAATGCCAAGGAGACCAGAGTTCTGAATGTCCTCTAGAAGTCAGTAGTTTAGAAGCCTGAAACTGGTCAACAGAAAACAGGAACATACAAGAAACAGCACCATCTTAAGGTGTAAATTTGAAGAGCAGACCATATTAAACTTCTGTTTGGAGAATTGTAAGATACAGAAAAAGTCACTTTATAGCAATAATCTTGAGCCATCTTGCTTACTATAATATACGAGGTGTGTTTATATTTCTATGCTGGTTGGAAGCTGGAAGTCACCACTAGGAATTAGTGGCTTTGCAAGATTTTAAACTAACTTTCCAAGCCCAACCTGAAATTAATCCAAGTATGTCATCTTTCAATGTTAATCTTTCTCCATACAGTAGTATCTCTATCATATTCCATATTAACTAAAATGTAAAAGAAAGTGTGGGATGATTGTTTATTTTCTTGCAGACATTTCATTACCAAACTACCTAGCATCATCAATGCAATGTAAGGTTGTAATAATAGTACCGTGAGATGGAAGAAAATGAGAGAGGAGAGGGAGAGAGAGAGAGAGAATCTGGCATCAGGTTGCTATCATCCTGCAGGTCTAACTGCCTTTTACTATACTGCAGCCAATCCAAATAAATTCATATTGCAGAATTTCTTCTGCTTTTATTACTATTCTTACATTTGTCTCCTTAAGTGCTTTGTAGCTGGCATGGTGATTAATCAGAAACTCTATAAATATACAATGTAAAGATACACTGATGGGAACTGTTTTCTAGAGTCATTTAAGCTTTCTGATTCTGATGGAAATTATTCTCTCGTTTGCATCTTCCTTCCATTCCAGGTTTGATCATGCAAAATAGTTTTCTAATTAAGTCACATACATAATTCTTTAAACTGTTTACTCTCAATCTGTATCTTTCTGGATATGCACTAAAGGTATTGTAGGCACTCAAGAGTTATTTAAAGTGGCTAGCCATTCAATTTTTTTCAAATAAATACATACATTTTTAAGGAAAGATTTAGAAAAGCTGGTCAGTTAATGTATTAATGTAATACTCTGGAGTCCAAAGCAAACCAAGATTGGAAGCTCATGTTTACAGATTAATCCAGCAAATTTTCTCTTTCAATAACCAGGAAAAGAAGCCAACATGCATCCAATCAAAGGCCAATCTAATCAAGCAAAATTTCTCCTGTGATTTTTTTTTTGGGAGATATAACCCAGATTAGCCAGAAGTGCAGAAGTAACACACAAGACACTATGAGAACCGCAGCTCTTTTCTACTAACATGCTTTGCCACACTACAGTTCAATGAATTTGCAAGCCTTGCATAAGGGGCTGAAAATCCATCACCCTCCTTCTCTGCTTTGCTCTTATCAATAGTAGATTACAAGTGCTTTTAGCTTGGAAATGTCAAGTGAATGAATAACAAACTCAAAGCTGGAGGGCAAAGAAGGCAGCAAGTATTTACAATGAAGAACACAAACAACAACAACAAAATCCCCTTGGATATGCATACTAGCCAATGTTGGGTTCTCTGATGCTCACATAACTGCAAGTTTGGAGTCAGCATTGGGCCATTGAAGACAACATGTCCTATGGCAGATGCACTGTTCCCTTAACACAGGTAGTCCTTGACTTACAACCATTCATTTAGCAACCATTTGAAGTTACAGTGACATGATCAAAATTCAGGCATTTGGCAAATCAGCAATGTATGTATAACTATTGCTGTACCTTTGGGCATATAATCAATATTTGCAACTTTTCCAGCTGGTTTCTGACAAGCAAAGTCACTAGAGGAAGGAAGATTCACTTAATGACCATGTGATTCATTTAACAATTGCAGTGGTTTTCTTAACCATTATGGCAAAAAATATATAATTTATACATTAATAATTTAATTATAACGTTATAATTTAATTATAATGACTCAACCGCCTTGCTTAGCAAATGAAACTCTGGTCTTCGTGATGGTCATAAGTCGAGGACTAACTGCACTGCTACCTAGAGGCAAGATATGCTAACTGTGACCCAGAAATAGCATGCAGCTATCATAATTAATCGTCATTATAAACATCTGGGAAACATTGCTAATTCATACTGCAGTCATTAAGGTCAAATCACTGGATACTAGTCAAGGATTCAATAGGCCGAAAGTTCCCAAATTCAATATCACCTCAGCTTTTGTATGTACTTGTTGATAAAAAGGCAAGATGTAGGAGAAGAACAGACGGAACTGGGTGGTGATGGTGGAGTTAAACATGTTATCAGCTTAGAATCATTACATCCCCACAATGATCCAATTCCAACCACTCTTAAATTCCACTGGAGCCAATTTTATACTGCACTTTAGGTGACTGGATCCTTGTGTATAGGGCTTGTACAATAAATCTACTGAACCACAATTGAATGGTCCTGATCCTTTGCACCTTTGTACAGAAAGGAGGAGGAGGAAAGAAGGAATAGAAATTGAGGAGCAAAGTTCCAAGATAGTTTGCAGGAGCCAGCACATTTTCTTCCATGGATTGTCCCCAATCACAGCAGAGGGATGCTGGTCCACTTCAACCATTTCAGTCGAACACAGACCCAAATGTACATTTCTACTGATGACAAGAGAAGGATCCCACCCATTAAACCAAGAAGCTCAAATTCAGAATACAAGCTATTGCACATCTGTTCTGTTTTCCCCTACTTTCATACAGCAGGTGAAGAAACCAGAGCAAAGCTCTTAAGGGAAAAATAGGATCAATGACTTACTTTTTCTTGATCTGGAGAAGAACTTGATTCCTCCAGGGGAGGTGGAAGGGTTAGAGCCAGAGGAGGAAGAGTCTTTTGAAGACGACCTGAAAATCCCACTGAAACTCATGCGTCGAGGGGAGCGAGGTGGTGATTCCTGGTATGGGAAGGGAAACACCGTTTTGGGTGAGCCTGGACTATGTTTAGACTTGACAGGAGCCGAAGATGGACTGGAAGGTCGGTTCTGGAACCCCTTTGAGAAGATTCCTTTGGAGGGGCTCCCTGAATTGTAGCTGTCTTCTGTCTACAAAGGAAAAAAAAGTGTTGAGTTGAAATATTGGGAATTAATAGAATCATAGAATACAGAATCATAGGGCTGGAAGGACCTTGTGGCTCAAGGCAGGAAGACCTTATGTTATCCTAATCGAAAGTTTGTCCAAACTATTTTTTAAAACATCCAGTAATGAAGCACCCACAACTCTGAGAGGCAAACTGTTCAGGGATGGGTTTCAAAAATTTTAGCAAAGGGTTCTCTGCCTGGGTGCTGAGTGGGTGTGGCCGTGGTGGGCATGTGGCCTAGTTGGCCTCCTGCACCATGGGGTTGCCCTCCCTGGGCTTCAGATGCTTTCCTCGAGCCTCTGGGAGGGTGAAAACAGGCTTCCTGGGTTCTGGAGGCTTTCTGGAAGCTGGAAACGGGCCCATTTCCAGCCTTCCTGAACTTCCAAGAGGCCCATTTTTCACCCTCCCTGAGCCTCCGTGCGCGCCCTGCACTTACCTGCATCCAAAACAGGCCCAGTTGGGACTCCTGGGAGGGAGGGGCAGGGCAGGGTGGGCGGGGCCAACCAGGAGTGGGATTTGGGGGTTCTTCAAACTGCACAGAATCTTAGATGGGTGCTCTTCCGAACCCCCAGCAGCCCACCCCTGAAATTAGTCTATTGATAATTGTTCTCATTGTCAGGAAATTTGTCCTGAACTCTAGGCTGGATCTCTTCTTAACAAGCTTCCACCCATAACTTCTTGTCCTGCCCTCTGGTGCTTTAGAGAATCCCCTCAAATATTGAAAGACAGTTATCATGTCCTGCCCACCCCTATGCTTCTCTTCTTTAGGCTTGTCATACCTAGCTCCTTCAACTATTTGTTATATAATTTAGCCTATTGATCAGTAGTGGGATTCAAAAAAATTTACTACCGGTTCTGTGGACATGGCTTGGTGGGCATGGCAGGGGAAGGATATTGTATAGTCTCCAGTCAGAGGTGGGATTTGCTGATTCTCTGAACTACTCAAAATTTCCACTATCAGTTCTCCAGAACTGATCAGAACCTGCTGAATACCACCTCTGTGTTGATGCTTTATCATAGTTGTTGCTCTTCTCTGCACACTTTCTCAATTAACACAATTAAAAAAACAAATATCACCTTATTCTATTTCAGCTTCCAAGTGCAAGGCTTTATTATGTATGTACAAAATCTACCATCTTTTGGTCACTGTATGTTGCACTTCTTAAACAATATTATTTGTCTGTGCAAAAATCCAGTCCTCAACAACTACTGTTCTCAAGGATATAACAAAAGTTACAGAGACCCTGGGATAGAGAAAGTAATGTGTCATTTGGAGAACCTAAGGCCACATGCAGTTTTTTCTATAAAAGGCAATCTATCAATGGGAAATATTAAATCAGGGTCAGGAGCTAAAAATAAGCAAAAATCAAAGAGCTCTCATGTCTCTCTGTTATTACCACCTTCAGCTTCAACTTCTAACTCTCTGTCTTTCCAGGGTACCATCCACATGAACAAGAAACAATGATTATATGGGTTTTGTTAAGCTCTCTTTCCAGTGTGTGCGTGTGTGCGCGCGTGCACACACACATGTGTATGCACATACCTAGGGAATACGGTATATTCTAGTACACACACATACACATACACACATGTACACAAACACACTTTCTAAGATTTCCCAGGTAGAGTGTATTTTGCTTCTTGTTCAGTATTTATGAGAAAAAAATCCCATGCAACATCCGCCATCCAAGTTCTCAGAAAGAAAATCGGAAGGGCAGCCAAAAAGTAAAATTCATTTGAGATCTAAGACAGGACTTGATTTGAGGGTTGTTGTTGTTGTTGTTGTTGGCACATAGAAGGATAGCTGGACTGATGGGGCCTAAAGGTTGGAGACCTGCCCATTTTGACTGAGTTTCAAAGACTTTTTTTAAAAGCCTGGAGCACCATTACCCAAAGATTTGTCATCCAGGATGAATTCTTTGAGGACATCCAAACATATTTCTCTCCAGGACATGTGGCAAGAGCAATTTTTGAATGAGAAATTATTTATTAACACAAACAAAGCATCTACCATCTTGCTCTTTTTATCAACCTCATAGATGCTGCCAGCTGGATTCCTTTGAATCAAACAGAACAGACATACCTTAATTACCCACTTCAAGGTCACAGAAAGAGATCAGATCAATCATCTCATCTCCTCCCTCCCTCTTCTAGGCTGTCTGGCCCCAAAACTGATTCCAAATAGCTTCACCGAGTTAGAAACAGTCTCATAATATTAAACATTTAACTCACTTATAATTACCTCCGGGAACATTTTTTTTTTAGAAAAAGTCGAGTCACTCCCAAACTTCAAAGAGTCCACTAGTCACTCCCCACCCAAGGCCTGAAGGAAGAACCACATGTTTAGGGCATGCTTGAAGCATGGGTGGGATTCAAATTTTTTAACGAACAGTTCTGTAGGCGTGGCTAGGTGAGCGTGCCTTTTTTTTTTTTTGCAGCAAACCTCCCCCCCGCACTCTGTTTTTGGGTCTCCTGGGCCTCAGGGAAGCCTCCTGGATGAAGCAGTAAGACAGCGAGAGATTCCGACACAGCCGATCGTCGGAACAGCTGATCATTGGGAGGAAAAGAAAAAAAGAAATACCTTAATGAGTGACTGGGCGGGGGAGAATACAGCCAGCAATGTCGGGCATACATGCGATGTGGCGCATGTGTGATAAGGACTGACTGGGCAAAGAGGGGAGGGGCAGATGGAGAGGGGAGTGGCCAGCCAGGGACACGATTTGCCAGTTCTCTGAACTGCACAGAATCGTAACAACTGGTTCTATAGAACTGGTCCGAACTGGTAGAATCCCACCCCTGGCTTGAAGGCAGGAAGAGGGAGGGGCAAAGAATGCTGCTCCAGAGCCCAGTCACTGTTATAGACAAGGCCTCCTTCCTAGGTCCCTCTAGATGATATTACTTAATTGGCAGGATCTAAAGCAAGTGGTCCAATCATATAGGATGAGTAAAGAATGATGGAAGGCAGATGGCTTCTTAGACAACTAAATTCTATGCAACATTGAGCTTTAAAGATAATATAGATAATATGTATTTGAGAGGCTGCCACAAAGAAGAGTGGGACAACCTGTTTTCCAAAATACCTGAAGAGAAGACCAGAACTAGCAGATGGAAAGTTATCAAAGAGAAATCCAACCTAGAATGAAGGAGAAATTTCCTGACAGTGACTACACTTGATTAGTGGAACAGCTTATCCCCAGAAGTTGTGGATGCTCCAACACTGGAGGTTTTTAAGAGGAGGTTAAACGGACTGGTATAGGATCTCCTGCTTGGGTGGAATTCGACTAGAAGACTTCTAGTCGAAGGTCCCTTCCAACTCTGTTATTTTATATTCTGTATTCTAGCAATAGAAGAGAATATTTCAGGATTGAACTGGGGATCCTTGGTACTTTGAGCTTGGTTGTTTCCTTGCAGACATTTCATTACTAAACTAGGTAACATATTCACTGAATGAAATGTCTGCAAGAAAACAGCCAGACAGCACTAAAGACTCCATAGGTAACATGTATTCCATAATATTCAGACCTCCAGCTATCAGTATGTATCCGATATAAACTTCCTCCCCAAAGTTTTCTTTCATGGCAAACCCATACTGACCAAATCGCATCATTTTAATTTGATTTCATTTAATCTTTTTTTGTGCAAAATTAAAAATTTATAACTAAAACATTAAATACCAGGCTGATATTGGGAGCCTAGTCTGAGGGAAGACCTCAGGAAAGATGCCCTTAAATTGGTGAAAATTATCATTTTAACACAATAACCAAACAGCTCGGATTTCAACCCCTCTTGCTATGCAAGGGCCTTCACTCATATACATTTCCTAGAGAGACGGTTTTCAAAAAACATAAAAAGAGCAAATGTATTAAAATATAGCAGTATTTCTAGGGCATTGTAGGTCAAAAAGTTCAAGATGGCAGCTGCAACCACATAAGAGATGTATGTTCCTTTTTAATATGCATTGCAAAGTATGTTTGAATGGAGATGTCCTTAAGCGGAGGCTCTTGAGACAGCTGAAGTCCAACTCCCAGAATTCCCAATCCACACGGCCAACTGAAAGTACCAGACTGGGGAAAATTAGGCCATCCTGAAATTTCTTCATATTTGAATGACAATACCAAGGGTGGGATGCTACCGGTTCTGTCCGGCTCTATAGAATCAGTAGCTCTGAAGAGCAGCAAACACTGAACTGGTTCTGTGTCTGCTGCTGTTTGGCCCACCCACCCGCCCGGGCTCTTACCTGACCTTTATTTCCTGCTTTTTCAACCTCAGCTGCTTTACGCGGCATAGCTGAGGTTGAAAAAGCTGGAAAAAAGAGGCTTTTCAAACACTGCGCACCTGCGCGCAACACTTTTCAGCTGTCCGGGTAGCACAGCTTAAGGTTATTTTACACACGTGCATGTCAGGCGCAAAACGTAGTCACCGAACCGGTAATAACATCAGTTGAATATCATCCCTGGACAATACCAGTTTCATTTCTGGACAGCAAGGAAGTGGGCAGTCAAATGTTATGACTTATCAGCAGAAGAATGTAATTACTTTGCAGCTAAGATATTAAATAGAACAAAAGATAGAAAATTAGCTCATTTGTTATTCACTAGTTACTAGTAAATCAAATATATTTTTCTAGCCAGACTTTTCTGATTCTAGGACTTGATTAAGTTATTTATTTTCAATTCTTTCTCTCTCCACCTCCCCACATCCTGTCCCCCACACCCACACATACGAAGATTTCCTTTGCTCAGGGTTTTTCTCATGTATTTATTCATTTATTTATTAGATTTTTATCTTGCCTTTATTACTTTAGAACTAACTCAAGGCAGCAAACATACACAACATTCCTTCCTCCTCCTATTTTCCGCACAACAACGACCCTGTAGGGTGAGCTGGGCTGAGAGACTTATCATAATTTCATAGCAGTTTCGCATTTCCTGTGCTTTCTCCATATCATTGTGTTTTATAGGCAGT